ATCCTCTAAAAAGCTCTCATTTCATTAATTCTATTAATAAAAAGGAGAATTTGCATAAAGATATCTACTCATCAGTGACATATTGATATTTTTATAATTGCATCTAAGATTATTCAGTATTCTTCAATTAATATAAATCAATATCCAATTCTATATAAAAGATTGATTTCAATTTAATTCATTGAAATGTAATAACCTCAAAATTGAGAATACAATTTCTAAAATAGGTAACAAATTTTATAAAATGCACTTGATATACAAAAATATAAGGAATATTTAAAGTAAAATGGGAGTTATTATATTTAGGGATTGAGGTAACCCTCTACAAAGCCCCCATTTCATTAATTCTATTAATAAGAATATCAATTTGCATAGATATCTACCCATCAGTGACATATTGATATTACTATAATTGCATCTAAGATTATTCAGTATTCTTCAATTAATATAAATCAATATTAAATTCTATTCAAAAAGATTGTTGTCAATGTAATTCATTAAAATGTAATAACCTCAAAGTTGAGAATACAGTTTCTAAAATAGGTAACAAATTTTATAAAATGCACTTGATATACAAAAATATAAGGAATATTTAAAGTAAAATGGGAGTTATTATATTTAGGGATTGAGGTAACCCTCTACAAAGCCCCCATTTCATTAATTCTATTAATAAGAATATGAATTTGTCTAATCTAGATACCAAAGCGTAAATGTTGCAGATTCAACCAAGTTTCTAAGTTTAATGAACATTCGTGTAAATTTTCATTAAAATTGGCACTGTAACACTCGGTACATATATGTTTTCCGTTGACCAGTGCAATCTATAATTACAGTGCAAGGTAAATAGTAGTAAAGCAGGTTAATAACATTTTCGGTGCTAAAATTAGGCGTAACCGTAAAGGATTTCGCAGACGCTGACAAAGTTTGCCTAACAGCGGCCGGCCGAGCGGTCGAAGCTCCGGTATTCAATACAAATGGCGCATTCCAAACTACGCGGGAAGGTTTGGACGCTGGCGGAGAGTCGGGCCAGCTGGAGCAACAAACAACGAGTTCGATTGTACAATGCGCCTCGTGTGCAGCTATCTGCTAGGAACGTCTCAGCGTCGGGGAACGCCCGAATGTTCGCAAAGGTGGCGAATAACGACGCCGCGGAGGACCGCGGGAGCGACGCGTTACATAAATAAATACAGAACAGAGTCGCGACAACGCCGTGTTCCCCTGTTCTTCTTGTCGCGAAACCACCGAAATAAATGGACCACCGCTTCCTGTAATCTGAGATCGCGAAGAACACTTTTCTAGGATACGCCATACGCGCTGCTTGCTAGGAAAAATGCTCGACGACAGAGGTTAGCTTTGGGGTTTCTAACCTACAATCTTAAAAAAATTGATTTCTTAAAACATCTTTCTTTTTTAATTATAGCTCAACGGCAGAGTTTTGCTTGAAAACATCTAATCTGGAATCTTATTAAAAATTAATTTTTTTGTAATTATAAAGGATAAACAATATACAAGGTGTTCGGCCACCATCTGGGATAAATTTTAATGAGAGATTCTAGAGACTAAAATAAGACGAAAATCAAGAACACCAATTTGTTGATTGAGGCTTAAAAAGTTATTAACAGCATTATTGTTAAAAATTATTGATAAAATTTGTCCACCTACACGAATTTTTTTCTCGAAAGTGCCTAGAATTTCGGGGTTATGTCTGTTCACCAAAAATGATTGTAAACGACTCCCGCAACCAAAAATAATTTTTCCAGAAAGATTTGAAATATTCTACTTTCGCCTAAAAATTTGTCTAGCTATTGGAATTTTTTTCTCCAAAGTGCGTAGGATTTTGGGGGTGTGTCTATTAACCAAAAATGATTATAACTGACCCCCGCGAACGAAACTAATTTTTTCAAGATGATTTGAAATTTTTTAATTTCATCGAAAAATTTCCAGTCGTTATGGAACTTTGAACGTTAATAACTTTTTAACGGAGCCTCAATCAACAAATTGTTATTCTTGACTTTCGTTTTACTTTGGTCTCTAGAATCTTTCATTAAAATTTTTCACGGGAGTGTTCATGCTATTACTAGTGAGTTTTTCGAAAATTGTTCTAATTAAAAAAAATGAAAGAGAAAAGAATTTTATAGTTTCTTATGAACAATAGGACAGTGTATATCAATTTTCCATGTTGACATTATTTTTCGAGAAATGAAGGCGGTCTTCAATTGTATGTGCCTATCCATTCATTTTCAACCTAAATGTTTAGATAATGTTTGAAAATTTCTGCAATTATGTGTGCTGGAAGTGTTAAGATATAAAAATTTGTAAAAGATTCCCTCTATTTTATTACAGGTTAATTATTACCAAACGAATTGATTTTCATACAAAAATTATTAAATAATAGAATAAAATTAAATTTAAATATGATGTTTGTAAAAATTAAAATCTAATGAAATAAATCGGTGCAAATCTCAGATTCAACCACTAGGATTTATTCAGTTTACATTAATTTAGCGTCTAATGACAAAGACGCGGCTAGACCGGCGCGGGCAACGTCGGTTTATAGTAACGCATAAATTTGGCCCTCCGTAAACGAATCCGTGCCAGTAACAGGCCGACATTTCGCTCTGGTTTCATTTACGTTTCCGCGATCGGTGAATCTATAGATAAAATCGCGCGTCCACGCGTCGTTTCGTCCACAGTTAATGCTCACCGGGTCTGCGTAACAGCTGCGTTGTAAACTCGGCTTTTAATCCCGCGTCGCATTCTGCGCGGCGCGCGATAACGCGTCCGCCGCGCATCTCGTCCGCGGTATCGCGATCTCGAGATAATCGACACAGTCGTTCGACGCGCGGGATTAATTAAACACCACAGACCAGCTTCTGTGACGCGTCGTCGGGGAATTGAGACGACCAGGGCGCACAAAGAATTTCTCAAACGTCTTTTGTGCGACAAACATGTGGTAACGAATTTCCTGAGACCCGGGATCTCCATCCGCGTTCGCGTGGAATCCATTTTGCTTTTTATGGTTCCGTTTTACGGTCACATCGACTGCTTGGAATTATTGGCACGCGAAAACGTTTAATAATAGACGCTTTTATAGCTGTGTATTAGGAAACAGATACTTGAAATTCTTAATCAATAAAATCGTAGTGTAATAACTTGTAAGTTTTTAAATATTGATCCAATACAATATTTTAAATATTTCCCGGTTTTGTTGAACGTTAACACTAGAACTACCAAACCAGTCAAAATGACCCATTCGTAATTTCTAATAAAACCTCAAAAAATTTACTCGACTGAATTTTTGGAAATTTATCGTAATTTTCTATAAGAGAATGAATAAATACTTATTTCCATTGCATTGTACATTTCTTCGCGTACCTATCGTTTCAATTTTCTTGGTACAAATAAACACACTATAATTGTCAATTCTAGTGTTAATGTATGTGCAAAAGGGTTGAAAGTGTTTTGTTCGAGAAGGAATAGGTAACCAGGGACAATGAGACAACAGGGAGAATGGAACGAATGGTTATGAAAGGACAGACATAATTCTTACATGATATTAATTTGTTCCAAGTACAATTCTCTTTGTTGAATCCTACATATTGTTGTCAGAAGGGTTCAGCACCTGAAACGGTCGGTCTATCAGCGCAGTTGTCGACTAACGAGTCGCTCATCGGCTGTTAGAGACGCCGATGGAGGGACAATTGCTTAAGGGAAATGACCAATGAAGGTAGTTTCGCTAGGGAAAGAGGAAGGTAACTGATCGCTCCATTGTCAGCCCCAATATCGGTGGCCTGTCGTTAAACCAATCAGCTAATCTACCGGGACCATCTGTACGTGACACGTTCCGTTCGAGGCTGGGCTATATAAGTAATAAATACGTCTCCGTAATCGATTCTTACGCAACGATCTGCCTCGATCGTAGACCGTAAAATTGTATCCGGTCCATCTTGGCGATCGAGTCGACCATTGCTCTCGCATCAGCGATATTAAAACAGTAACGACCAGCTGATCTTCGAATCACAATGCATACTTTAACGGATCATTTACGATGATGAACTGTTCCAAACGTTGATTCGTTCTTTGGTTTTGAATTGTTGTAATTTTTTTGAAAAATTTCAACACATATGATATATTGCAAACGAAAGAATTTTATCAAGTTCAAAATTCAGATTTTCATTTATATTATTTCATGTATTATTTCCATTTATATTACACTGTAATATACTACTATTTAACGACTATGAACGATACGTTCTTTGGTTTTTAATTGTTGTAATTTTTTTGTAAATTTGAACAGATACGATACATTCTGAACGAAAGAATTTCGTCAAGTTCAAATTTTAAATTTTCATTTATATCATTTCATATATTATTTCGTTTATAGTATTTTCATTTATACAGGGTATTCGACTACCACTGGGAAAAATTTCAATGGGAGATTTTAGAGGCCAAAATAAGACGAAAATCAAGAATATCAATTTTTCGTTTGAGGCTTCGTTAAAAAGTTATCAACGTTCAAAGTTCCAGTATAGCGCGAAGCTGTTTCCCGTTCTACAGGCGCAACTTTAAACGTTGATAACTTTTTAACGAAGCCTCCATTAACAAATTGGTATTCTTGATTTTCATCTTATTTTGGCCTCTAGAATACCCCATTAAAATTTTTCCCAGGAATAGCCGAACACCCTGTATAACACGTGCAAAATTAAAAAAAGTTAATGTTCTACTCTTTAACGACTACGAGCGACAGTGAAATTCAGAAAAGTCGATAATAATTGTCCTGACGAATTTTTATCTCGCTAAAAATAGAGATAAAAATCGAATGGAATTTTGTAAAGTTTTCTATTGTTTGCGGAATTAATATGCTTCTTCGTTACGAATTTAAAAAATTTTCAGTTTGGTACACGCAGTCGATTTTTTAATTCGATTAGAATCCCATGCAAGCGTAACAATTACGTTAAAATATTAAATGTGCAAACGAGAAGTGTAGATTCTTTACTCACCATTCATCAGTGGTATTGTTTGGCTCATCGTGATATCGTGCAACGACATGCTTGAACTGCAACAGTAAAGAAAAATAACAATCAATTACGATTACGTAATTTATATTTCACCTTAAAAGTGCATAAATTCTTGAAAGTAAGTCTATGGACGATTATTAAAACTGTGAATATGAATGTTGCTTAATAATTTTTATATTATTTTATGTTAAATGAAAATTAAGTGCCGCAGCAGTAATCAGTCCCAACCCTCCAAGAGTGTAATTTACGACCTCGCTATATCGTGGCCCGTAAAACAAGACCAAACGCGATAACTTGGATCATATTTACGTATTTTACACGATTTTGTGCTCTATCAGGAGTAGGATAAAAGCAAATTATATCGTGTTTGGTCTTATTTTAATCGGAAAAGGGTCACAAATATGTTGATAAAAGTTTCATTTGAAAAAAAAAACAAAAGTAAAATTTTCATCTCTGCATGTATTGTTTCACCGATATTCGAGCTCGGATCAGGTTGGTGTCAAGCAGAGCCCCCTGTTTGGTTTGAGGTTATTTTATCGTCAATTTTAACCCCAGAACTAACGGCTATTACGGTAAATTTCCAAAAATTCAGTCGAGTAAATTTTTTACAGGTTTTATTAGAAATTACGAATGGGTCATTTTGACTGGTTTGGTAGTCCCAGTGTTAAATGGCGTATAAAAGGAACTCCCGCCGCGTAAAAATCGCCGAAACCGAATTCCAATTGACATTCTTTGGATCGTTGACGGCGGGGCTGATTAATCCCATACGTATGCTCAAACCTCGTCCTTACCGAACCGATGTTTTGGCCTTAGCCAATCGTCGCTCTGGAAATAGAACCGTTCATCTTGATCCTTTTTAAAGGTTTTATCTAATTCGGGTCTAGTTCGTGCTGTCCTCGAGAGGAATCAGGAGGCACACACCACGCGCCTCCGCCCCATTACAGCCCCATTCCGAAAATAAAACGGTCTTCCAGCTTCGTACGCGTCCTTTCGTTTATCGTCCCTGTTCGAATATAAAAAAAGATTCCCACGGCTCGCAGTGGGACAGGTCAAAAATTTTAGTGACACTTTAGTATAACTTTGGAACCATTAAAGACATCAAAGTGTGGCTTGTACAGAAAAATATTACAAAATTCTTAATTAATTTTATATTTTTGTTTATTTAAATGGTTTCTGAAGTGTTTTAAATGTAATTGTCTCACACAAATAAGCCAGAGGTGTATTCCTTATTTGATGTATATTATTTTCTTAGATAATTTATATGGGAAAATATTTAGTTTTTGGATTATACATATAGAAATATGCAGGGTGTTCAGCTAACCATGGGAAAAATTTTAATGGGGGATTCTAGAGGCCAAAATAAGACGAAAATCAAGAATACCAATTTGTTGATGGAGGCTTTGTTAAAAAGTTATGAATGTTTAAAGTTCCGGCCTTTCTGAATTTTTTTCTCGAAAATGCGCAGGATTTCGAGGGTATGTCTATTCACCAAAAATGATTGTAATTGACCCCCGCAACCGAAAATAATTATTCCAGAACGATTTGAAATTTTTTTTTCGTCGAATGGCACTTAATTAGATTTTCGGTAAGGAATTTTTTTCTCGAAAGTGCGTAGGATTTCGGGGGTAATTATAATGATAAAAAATGATTGTATTTGACCCCTGCAACCGAAAATAATTTTTCCAGAACGATTTGAAATTATTTTTTTCCGTCGAAAAATTTCACACCTTCTCGAATTTTTTTCTAGAAAGTGGATAGGATTTCGGTGGTATGTCTATTCACCAAAAATGGTTGTAATTGACCCATGCAACCGGAAATAATTTTTCCAGAACGATTTGAAATCTTTGAATTTAATTGTTAATAACTTTTTAACCACCGGCGATTTTCATACAAATTGCGACTCGATGGGAATCATTCCGTCCCCATTGGTGAATTTTATTATATTTGAACCGCGTTTATTGCTTTACGACGTTTTGTTTCTCTTTGAGGGTTGAAGCATCCCTAAAGCAAACCGAGATTTTCCATTTTATTGTCCTTTAAAGAGTAGCAATACACCGTTTCAAGAAACACGAACAACGAGCACTTAATTCGAAGTTCCATTCGAAACAATTTAACGAACTCCAAGACCACCTTAATACCACCACTAATACCTGGGACCAAAACTAATTGTACGAATGTGCACAATAGGGCATCGAGCATTCTACCTGAAATCATTTGGGCCTTGTTTCCCCTCCCTCAATGGGAATCCCTCATACCTGCCATATTACCGCGGAAAAACCAGTTTAATTATTTCACAAAATATCGTTTAGTGTCCATTTCAATACTGGGTCGTCTCATAAGGTCGTAAAATTCATAACTTTGCCAACCACTTTTAGCACATCTTTACAATAAATATATTGTAAGAACGATACATATTATTGAATAATCTTCGAATTTCGTTTATGAAGCCTTAGAACCTTGTTATATGCGTCATATTATACATAATAACACGTTCGCTATAGCATTCATTTTTATTGTGATGCAAAATGCTATTCAAGCGTCTAAGCCACGTGATCACGCATTCAATTCTATACAGGGTGTTCGACCAACCCTGGAAAAATTCTAATGGGGGATTCTAGAGACCAAAATAAGACGAAAATCAAGAATATCAATTTTTTGTTTGAGGCTTCGTTAAAAAGTTATTAACGTTTAAAGTTGCGCCTGTAGAGCGGCAAACAGCTGCGCGCTATACTGGAACTTTGAACGTTAATAACTTTTTAACAAAGCCTCCATCAACAAATTGGTATTCTTGATTTTCGACTTATTTTGGCCTCTAGAATACCCCATTAAAATTTTTCCCAGAGGTGGCTGAACACTATAGTTTTTATTTTTTGAAATTATTATACACTTTAATGTAATGATTTTACTATTTTCATTTTATTTTGCCTTTCTGTATTTAAAAATTTCCTTTAAAATGTATATACTATTAATATTTAGAAATCATTGATTAAATAATTAATGATCCAAAGTTCTCGAAAATTGTAGTGATGTTATATTCACGCTCATTTGAATGCTAACACGGTTCCGATGCAACGCACAACGAGTCGACCGTGTTACAGAAGGATCGACTGTGCTTGGTCGTGTTCCATAGCCAGTGGTAAGCTTCCTTTTCACTTAGCACCGGGAATATGATTCTTAAGAAGCGATTCGTTATAATTAAATACGACCCAGATTTTGATTGCGATCCTCGACGTTCGAACGAACCGGTGGGCTCAAACGTGATGTAAAACCGTTTCCATGACATGTCAGTGATTTATAATGCCACGGCAACTTCAAACTACGCGAGAGCAATAAGGAAATGCAGGATTTCCAGAAAGGTTTAATTTAGATTTCATCCAAACGCTATTCCGGCTAGCCACCGTTGAAACGCGAAATGAGTAATTAACGGGATAACGTCCCCTTCAGCCGAGTTGTCGCTGATCTTAACAAGTTCTAAGAGTTCTGCTATTATTTGCAAGCCCCACGCTGTCTGGAATATCCGATCCCGGGCGCTTTCCAAACAGCCCGTACGCCTTTTCGCGAAATCGACAACTCAAACACCATATAATTTCCAACAGAACACGAGAATTAAACGCAAGTAGGGGGATCTTACGAATTGTATTATAGACACACCAGACTATCAACGGAAGCGATATGTATAACATTTTTGCTCCAAAATCGCGGGAAAAAGTTTGAAAATAAACGTAATTGCGTTGATCGGGGGAAAATTTTAACCTGAGATTCTAGAGGCCAAAATAAGACGAAAATCAAGAATACCAATTTGTCGATCGAGGCTTCGTTAAAAAGTTATCAACGGTCAAAGTTCCAGTATAGCGTGCAACTGTTTCCCGTTCTACAGGCGCAACTTTAAACGTTAATAACTTTTTAACGAAGCCTCAAACGAAAAATTGATATTCTTGATTTTTGTCTTATTTTGGTCTCTAGAATCTCCCATTAGAATTTTTCGCCGAACACCTTGAATATTTGAAATTAAATGAATGAAAAATGAGGGCTCTCCTCTAAATCTAGTCCCCCAAAAAAATTCATCCACTGCGTATGAATGATATTTAAATTCGCATAAGACAATTTTAACGTTAAATTCCCGATCTCATTCCGTCAAAGATGAAGATCGTACGTTTCTTGGCAAAATCTATTTAGAAGCTGCGAGATGGACGTAATCCGTTCACCTTACCGTGGACATCCTCCTTGCGGCCGCGCACCCCAACATCCGACTCTGATATATATTTAAGTGCAACCCTTACGTACGCGTTCAACTAATCCGGATCCAGACTTCTCGGAATTTCAGGACGCCTCAGAAGCCGCTGCGTACGAAACGACGACGACGACGGGGGCGGCACCAAAAGGGCGACGTCGCGTTGATATTATTATTGCGGACTTTACGAGGTACACGGCGAGTTTACGTAAAGGAAATTCTAACCGTGAAATTCACCGTGGGACACAGAATGCGCATTAATCCTGTCGAAAACGCTTTTCGCGGCGACGATTCTGGATGCCAGGCGCGAAAGAAAATCGGTAGCGACTCGCGTAACAAGCGGCCGACGATAAATTTGCGATATTACGTGCCCCGTTAAATGCCAGAACGCGAATTTGTATTATTTGGAATACGGTTAGATGAAAGATGACGGAAGAATTGTGGGGAAATTATGTGCACTTTGACGGCCGTTGTCACGTGAGCGTGAGAATAACTTTCATCCACAGGCTTCTTCAGGGAGATTTAATTATCAGGTTTAAGAATATGTTACGTTATAGGGGCAGATACTTTTTAATTTTTTAAATATTAATGATTAAAGTTTCATTATGTGGAAATATAATTTTAATCTATCAACGATTAATTACCACCATGGGGGGTAGTAGTAAAGTAAGAGACTGCTACTCGAAAGACCCGAGTTCGATTCCCGAGAACTACATATTTTTTTTTTATTTTAAATAAATTCAAATAGCCAAATTCACACATATTAACATTAATTACATCTAAATAAAATATCTTTATTTATGATATAAATTTTTCTTCATTTGCGAAGTAAATTGTTCTTAGAATGGTTCGTTTGTTTTCAGCTTATATGGATGAGGAATTTCAACCGATTATCAATACCAAATTGTTATATTTAAATACAGGGTGTTCGGCAACCTCTGGGAAAAATTTTAATGGGAGATTCTAGAGGCGAAAATAAGACGAAACTCAAGAATATCAATTTGTTGATGGAGGCTTCGTTAAAAAGTTATTAACAATTAAATCCAAAAATTTCAAATCGTGCTGGAAAAATTATTTTCGGTTGTGGGGGTCGATTACAATCATTTTTGGTCATTATAATTACCCCCGAAATCCTACGCACTTTCCAGAAAAAAATTCCTTACCGAAAATCTAATTAGGTGCCTTGACGAAAAAAAAAAAATTTCAAATTGTTTTGGAAAAATTATTTTCGGCTGTGGTGGTCAATTACTATCATTTTTGGTGAATAGACATAACCCCGAAATCCTATCTACTTTCTAGAAAAAAATTCGAGGTGTAAAATTTTTTGACGGAAAAAAAAATTTCATTTTATTATTTTAAGAAATAAATTTATAGAAAATCTGTGGGTAATATCTGTTACCACAAGAAACTTCGACGAGATTGGTAACAATCGTTTCGATGCATTTAAATAATACTTGCAGTATTTATTAATGTTTAGTTCATCGATTTCCGTTCGGGCACAGGCGCGATTCGATCAAGTAATTTTCCACGACAATTCGATTCAAAGTGGAAATAATAATAGAAACAATATTATGGAATGACGCACAGAGTTGCAGTCATCTGACAAGATGGAGGGGTGGGTTGTGTAAGTAGTCAATACTGGGGAGCAGATATGGCGGCATGGACCGAAACAGAAGCATCCAGTACGAGCTTTAATCAGCTCTATAGTATATGCTTGCTGTATAGGATTTCCTCCACTAATTGCAATTACAACGGTATTAAATTATTGCATAAAATCGACGGAGAAAATCGAAGGACTTTGATGTAACATTTTGAAAAGACGAATTTTATATCAATTGTAATTTATATAAAAATTTAATAGAATATTTATGCACAAGGAGACGAAATTATCGAGTTGCTTTTATAGGCACTAAATAATATTAAATATATTATGTTTGTCTAATTATAAAATAAAATCACGTTGTATCCGTGAGAGGTTAGGAAAGTTCAACGATATTTCGAATACACTTTTAATCTGTCGAGTGCTTCGATTAAAAAGTGAGAAACGGCCAACGATACCCTGGATATATATAGGGTCATCGAAATTATTAGCAAAAAATAAATGCAAATTGAAATCGTTCTTCATTAATTTTTCATAACTTTATAATAGAATTAAAAATGTACAAAATGGTTTTTCAGGATATCTAAAACGTGTCATAGCACACCATTTGCTATTACAGAGCAAAAAAAAAATGTCTGCAGTAAAAAAATGCAAATTGAGATAGTTGTTTATTAATTTTGCATAACTTTATAATAGAATTAAAAATATACAAAATGGTTTTTGAAGATATTTAGAACGGGTGATAGAAAATCATTTTCTATTACAGAAATAAAATATCATAGAATGTTAATTCTACAAGAAATATGGACTGGTATGAAAGAAACTTGCTCGTACTACCGTTAATGCGTAAACGTGCTTGGACTACTAATTGACAAATGCGTAGCTTAGATACGCAAGCTGATTGGCATTGATTGCGTCGCAATTCTTTAATTTTTCATTCTTATAGTCAGCATCGGAAATTTTGTTCGATCCAATTCAGCCCACATGAAAATAAAAATCAAGTCATCGTTTTATTGATTCAGAAATTTACAAAGAAAAAAACATTTTTCAGAATTTTAACTTGAAAATTAATCATTCTTCCTCAACTGACTTTCTCACTTTTCCTGTAAAGATTAATGTTAACGTATCGATTACATCATTTTATTTCAAGAAATTTCTTTTTCTATTAATGTCTATTAATTATTAATTTTCTATTAAAAAGTAATTTCTTCTAATATAAATAAAATGTTTTATAAATTGGTTCTGTCGCAATAAAAAAAAAAACACACTAAACTACACTGAACGAAATCATTCCAGCGTCTCTATTAATCCTCTACTTATTCTCGTAGTAATTGACGCGACAATAATCGCCGAGCCATCTTGTATTTTCACGGCGTGAATCAAGTTTAATATTGTACCATCGTGCAGCGCGTGTTGAACCATAGCAGAATGACCGCGTTCGCGTTGACGTGCAAAGTTCCCTCAATTACCGGATCGTTAAACGTATTAACTTGCCCAGTTAAACAATTAGCTCGAGCCTGTCGAATGGAAACATTGTTTACGGTGAGATGCACGGGCTGCAGCCATGTTCTTACGTTTGGGACGCGTGGGTGGACGAAAGAGTTCGTCGGAAGCTTCCAACGACGCTCGCAACACCTACGAGGAAAGAAGATACGAACTATTCGACTTCGATTTTAACGTGCTTTTACAGAACGATAGCTCTGATAAAATATTAATCAATATTAATAAATATTGAGTATATTATACCCAACAATTTTTAAAATATAAATAATCGAAGTTACATACCTTGATACACTATACTAAAATCTATCTTTATTTCGGGAGAAAAGATTCTGTACTTAACTAGAATGCATTATAATGTCGTTTAGTACAAGATAAGTGAACGGTAGCCATTCCTACCCCTTGACACACCGGCCTGATCTGGGTTAGGTTAGGTTAAATTGAAAATTTTAATTTGTTTTTTTTTCTAAACGAAACTTTAACCAACGTGTTTGTGAGCGTTTTCCGATTAAAATGAGACCAAACACGATACAATTTGGTTTTAACCTACTCCTAATAGAGTACAAAATCGTGTTAAATATGCAAATATGATTCAAGTTATCGTGTATGGTCTTGTCTTAATCAGAGAAACCTGACAAATATATTAGTGAAGGTCTCATTAAAAAAAACTAAAAAATAAGTAAGTGAACATGTGAAAATTAACAGCGTTTTTATTCAAGATTCGCTGTATTAAATTCAAAAATAACTTTTGTTGAACAGTGTATTTTGAACCAATACCATAACAGATTCTACTGGACGTTATCAGAAATTGTTAGCAATTCTCGGACAGTTCGTGTCCATCCTTTGTCAGGGAACCAATACGCATGCAAATCGGTGTAATTTACTCTGACGTGTCGCGTTTCTACGCACGTACGATGGTTCGCTGATAAATCGGAACAGATATGCTTTGTTTACCAACAATTTCCCGGCTGGAAGGAGTGGAGCATCCCTGATAAGAAGAACAACGTAATCTCGGTCCAGTCGATCGATATATTACATGTACGAACGATGTTTAATCTAAAGCGAAAGTTTTCCAAAGCGAGGGGATCGAAGAAAAAAATTTCCACGTGGAAAAATGTGGAGACTACAACTGTGTAATTGCAACGAAAAATTGTAAAAAAATAAAGTCTCCATTGCAATTTTTAAGCGATATTTGTTAAAGCAAATTAATTTCAAACTGCCTGGATACTGTTAGTTACGTATTGCATTATAATAAATAATTTCGTAAGAAAGTATAATGAGGTCGACTCGATTTGCAATCACAGAACGTTAACCTCGTGTAATATTCAACGAATGAAATGCAATAGAGTACAATACTATTAAATCGTATTAAGGTTTTTCGCAATTCATCGTTAAACTGCGGATGTTTATGCATTTATGGGTAATTTTAATCCTCGAGAGACTACAAAGTGTACAAATACATCATACATTTCATTAACTCTATTAATAAAAGTATGAACTACTGATACTAGTTGTAAACAACAATCCAAGATGGCGTCCGTCAGTTTGGCGACACGGCTATTTCACGCGCGAGTCTACTAATTTCCCAGGCGCACAAACCTTAATTTTACCGTAGTACAATCTAACTTTTAGCTAGCTTTCGATTTTGATCGGTAAAATGTATAATTCGATCGAAAACAGCGCGTTGGTTTTTTATTTTTTCGATATTCTTAACCTCTGTCCATTCGCCTATCGTAAGAGAGAGCGCGCATGCGCAGGAAAGCCATTTACATATCAGTTGAGAAAAGACAGAGTCTAGTAATTTCCCAAGTGTACAAACGGTAATTTTTAGGGTGCTATGACGTACTGTTTAGCAAGCTTTCGATTTTGATCGGTAAAATTTATAATTTCCCCGAATCAACGAACGATTAAAATGCAAATGCAACTTGCACTCCCGGTTTGTTCATCATTCGCTTCACTGGCGATAGATTTAGGTCCCTGGAATCGAGTTAATTATGAACTCTAAATTAGGGAATCAGGGCTCACGTTTAAGGAAATTCTAAGTCACAGAATGGCAATGATGAATTTAAACAGAGGATTCGTTTGGATGATTCAGATACCTTAACACTGTTTTAATGCCTCGCTAAGCAAACTGTTAATCACCACAGTTTACTTCTGACTCAGTCCATGCACAAAACAACAATTCGTCGTTCGAAGTCATTAATACATACCCTTTGCGGTATCTTTCCTATTGCGCGTCTGGTAATCTAAATTAATTAGAAACAAATAGTTTAAATGTACAAATATTTTCGTATATTGTATTAAATGTCTGTTATACCGAGATTACAAAATCGTGAAATATATTTATTATTAAATTTGCTAAAAAGTAATTAAATAAGTAATTGATTTTATTATCTATTGTTTTATTTCTAGGTAGAACCATTCTGGGGATTTTAAGGAAACATCAAAGTTCCATAGACCATACAGTAAAACCTGTTTTTGTGCGATTAGTTTTGTGCGATTTATTTTTATGCGGTATATGAATCTTAGCGGCGTTAGCGGCGATCTTACAGGTCGAAAGGGACGGGAAAAACCCCTGGGTCAGCGGGCCCAGTCACGCGTTCGAGGTCCTCTCGCGCAGGGGTGCGAAACGCAAGCATGACCATATACAGTATATGTACAATGAAGAATTAAATATTTTTACAATTTCTTTAAGTCTAATTTAATTATTTAATTTAATTGAAAGCATTCTCTCATCTATTTCATAAGTCATTGATGTATTTTCTAAGTCCGACTTTTTTTATGCGGTCCCTATCCACCGCATAAAAAAAATTTTAGGTAGTATATCGTACAAAGTTGTTTATTATATGTAAGAATTTATAAAATTTCCGAATATTTTTTTGTACGATTTCTTTTATGCGGTCCCTATCCACCGCACAAAAACAGGTTTTACTGTACTGTAAGGTATATGAAAATAACTGCTAATTGTTAATGTTCTATTATTACTAATAATGCAAGAGGCCAAAATAAGACGAAAATCAAGAATACCAATTTGTTGATGGAGGCTTCGTTAAAAAGTTATTAACGTTTAAAGTTCCAGTATAGCGCGCAGCTGTTTGCCGTTCTACAGGCGCAACTTTAAACGTTAATAACTTTTTAAGGAAGCCTCAATCAACAAATTGTTATTCTTGATTTTCGTCTTATTTTGGCCTCTAGAATCTCCCATTAAAATTTTTCCCATGGGTAGGAAAACACCCTGTTTAATTATATTTTATCTGGTATTTTATTTCTTTAAGCGTAAAAGTATTTTATTTTGACAAAGAAAGATCTCAAACATAGAAATTTTGAACTACTGTAAAATGTTTAGAACCTATAAATATAAATGAAATATTCATCGAAGCAACAAATTCAGGTGCACTGTAACATAGCATAGTTCTTAAAATATATCTGTTTGGCACTATGGTTGCAGGTTTCGTGGAACTTGAGCGACCCCGGGGGAACGAAGACGACTGCATTTTAGCAATTTCTTTGATTCTTCTTTCCCGCGACGAAGCATTTGTTACTTTTGTTTGAGGCTGTCAAACTGAACTCGGTCGTCACGCATCGAAAAACTAACAAGCAACGTTTTCCACGAGAATATTCACGACAAACAATCTAAATTTAGGCAACGAAAGGGTGAACACATCTTTTATATAGGTTCAGTTGTTTTGATCCAGCGACTCGTTTCCGCCGCGAAAAACATTTTGTCGAAGATAATTTTAACGTTCAAAGGAAAGACAGACGTTTACAATTCTATTTTAAACCGTGTAAGCGGCTTGAAAACAACTCTATTGTTCGACGATGTTAACAAAATTCAAACCCGAAGCGAAGAATATAAATAGTTTTGGTTAAAGAACAATTCAGTTCGAATGACCTGAAAATCCAAAAAAGTTAAAACTTGAAAATTTTTGTAAAAATAAAACTCTCGTCGAGTTTATAGAACCTCGAGGAATTTGTGAAAAATTCGACACATTTTTGCAGCGCTGGGTCAACTTAAAATAATCGTCTAATCCTAGAAACCCAATGGGCATAGGTAAAGCTGCCAAATTACAATGTGTCTGCAGAGGGTTAATTATACTACACGTTTCTAGATTAATTCATTTCTACACTGCAAGCAAGTTAACATTATAATTATGGAATCATAAATTTACTAAAATATTGCATTTTAATAGTCTGCAAAAATTATAGATAAAATAAAATAAAAGTCGGTAAAAATAACCGTTGGGTATTATACAATGTCCACTTTCGATTTATATTCTGGAAAATGTTGAGCCAATATTTGACTATTATTTTCACAATTAGAGTCATAGCAGGGACTCTTAGACATAGGACTGATTGCTTAGATGAAGAATACATATTTGCTATTGGCCAGTGTTATTTACCAATAAACCCTTCCTAAAAGTCTAATATTTACTTCGTTTTCTTTTCAGTGCAGGCAATGTAATAAATGCATGGGTTGCACCACCTTAAGAGTGACGTCATGCTGGCAGAAAAATGGGGCAAATCGGAACAGGGTAAAACGAAATAGGACAAACGCTTCGCCGTGAATTGCAAAAACAACCTGGACCGATTTGCAACGATACCGCCGGCGTATAAAACAAGGGATAAAATGTTCAGTGTCGCGTGCGATGCTCAAGACCATCCTAAATAAAAATCCAAGTAAAAATATTCTGGAACCGAATCGATCGCATTCTATTTTCTTTCTAAGCGCTGTATAAACAATAGACGAAACTCTGATCAGACTAGTGATGTACTCACTTCCGGAATGGACTGTAAACGGTGCCCCAAACGTTCGTCCTGGTCGGCGATGGCGGGCTATTTTGCTGTTGATTGGAATATCCGTAGCCGGCGAAAAACATATTGCGGTAATTGTTCCTCATCGAACCGCTTAACAATACTATAAAACGTCCGTACAAATAAATCACGAGTCCTCGAGTCTCGAACCCCACGTACAAACTTACAAATAAAACGGTAACAACAACGACAACGGTATCAACAATCCGTAAGATAATACTAATAAAAACTTGTACTTTCAGTGAATACGCTTTGGCACGTTTATTTGGCACGTAAATGTCAATCTACCCAGGGAGTATCGTAAACGAACCCCCCCTGGCCTGGTCGGTATTAAAAATCACTTTCGACGATTGTATATGTTCGCGTTGTTGGACCGTCGAAAAAATCCGTTAAGCGTGCCGCGTTAGCGCGGACGACCTATATGCTGCTCCTGGACCGATCAATGAGATAACTCTTGCTCAAGACGACACGCCAGATGATTCACTCGTACGTCGCACGTTACTGTTCACACACTATCCCGTTGAAAAATTTAACTTATGTCCACCTTGCAAGGTCCAGGGTGTCCCGTGAATAAACGAACAACGTGCGAGGGTCGCGCGCGTTCACCCCTGAGAACGGCACCCTGTCACTGAATCAGCAGTTTGTACTTGAACACAGTCCTCTTGGAAGAAAGTGATCGCTTTCTCGCGGGTCTGTCGTCTTCCATCGCAAATTGATATTTGTATACGCGTGTCGGCCGAAATCAGAAGGAAAGATTTCGCCTGTCCATCCGTCGAAACGGACTCGTTTGTCCTTATCGGTAAAACGCGATAGGGCGACACGCGTGAACACGTTCACTTTCGAATAAATGGCACGAGAGTGTCAAATGTCTCTTGCTCCAACGACGGATCGTGCGCGACTAACGACAGGCAGCGACGCTGCCCGCGGAGGGTCCGAGAGGACAGGAGGCGGAGGGTTTAAGGTCGAGAAGATTCGTGCACGACCCGAAGAGCGACGAGGACAGACGAACGGACCCCGTCGCGGACGAAAGGGGAACAGAGACACGCGACCGGAGCGGAGATAAAGAGCAGACGGAGCGCGCATTCGGTCGGGGGAGAGTCGAATGACAAAAACAGATAGAAGCGGGGTTGCTAGCAGACAAAACGAAACGAAACGCGGTGTGTATCGGTCAAACGCAGTGTCTCTCATTAGAGCTCGGGCCGAAAGATGTTTGACTGTAGGCAAATCCCGCTTTGAAGAGGAGAAGCAGAGAGGAATTAGAAACAGTTTTAGACGACGTTGTATCTGTTATGATGGTAATCCCTACCGAACGGGCAAGAAAGTTAACCCCTTAGTGCAGTCTCCCGCAAACTTTTTGGAAGACATCCTGCTAAAATTAACTGAAACGAACTGGCTGGCCATGCTTTTCGACACGTCGCTTTGATGCTATTTTAATTAAGAATTAATATTTATGGTGCACGTTATTAACTCATTTGTATCATTGGCGTATGTAGGTACGAGGTCTAGCGCGTAACTACCGCCATCTTCCGGAAGATCCTCCAATCATTGATTTACTGGAAAGATTCGTGGGTTAACTTTATTGTTCGCATTTTGACAAAATTAAATTCGATTTGAGAACCACTATGGCAAAGAATAACCTCCAACCTTGCTGGATGCGATAGTCACTGTTTAAATGTACAACGAATAATTCAATAATTATTGTGCATGATATACAGAGAGTTTAAAAGTATTAATGTGATCTTGTTTTCATATTTTTTTTATGCATGTAGGTATCACAGTTTATAACACAAAATGCAAGTAGTGTTAAATTACAGTACTTTATAGAACATTTAATTTATAAATATACCATTGCAAATTTTTAATTAAGAGTTTAGAAGTTTATAAAGTTTGATGTATTTTATATGAATTGTCACATAAAATATCAAGATTTAGTTTATGTACGAAATGCTCAGAAGTATTAGTGTTGTTACACTTGGTTTCTTATTACTTGAAAATGTATTCATAAAATCCTATATCGTATCTTTATGTTGGCTTAACCTACCAAGTTTTGCTCTGTATTACTCTAATCTTCAAAATATTCTATCAAGTTTAAAGTATTACAATAATTTAAAATACTAATATTTCATTATGAATGCAAGATATATCACCACTTGTATAAAACAAGTGGACAATCGATAATTAACTTTTCAAAAATCAGTTACAATGAATTACTTTTGTATTTTATTGTAATGAAACTTTTTGTACCTCTTTAGAGTTGTTGAATTTGATTATTTCTTAACAATATTACTTGATCAATCGATGATTCTTTTTATTCATAGTAAGATTATAAATTCAACGTACGTATACATGTTATTTAACCAGTCAGTTTTATCCTTACCATTTATGTTATAAAAAGATTCTTATAAGAAAATGACAATTACAGAAAATATATTTTAACCACCATAAACACTATAATTTAATGTTCTATCATGTACTAGCGGGCGCGAGGTGGTTCCTTATGAAAAAATAAGAATAAAATATGGAATAAAATTTTTTCATTTAAAAGCATAGTTTTCGAGATAATCGAGTTTGAAAATCCGATTCGTACGTATGTTGTTACGGTTAAGTTACGGTTCGTCAAGCATCGTATAACGCGTATCGTGTTTAGGTCTGGTGTTCGTTAAAAATCTTCTGTGTATTTTTTCTTGAACTCGGGAACTTTTAAATGCTGGATAGACATTGTTTAACTATTATGAATAATATCAATAACATTTAACATACTGACTAACAAATGACTGTAAAACATTTGTAGAACGAAACTTACTTTCCTAAAACAAGAAACTTCGCGGCTTATTATAAAATAATTTATAAAACTTACATATTCTATAAATTATTACAGTATATGTAAGTTTGTTTTGGAATCGTAGGATGCATAAATTAAAGAGACAACAATTTACGAAGAAACCAGACCCCCTGTTGTCAAAGATAAAAATAGTGTCGCACACAACGAACAGAACTTTACAAATGTACTTACGCGTCGAAGTAATTCATCACTGCAACCGTGTCGTCCAAAACATCCCCCATATTTCATTTAATTTCACAACAATATATCATTTAAAAAATACATTAAAAATGGAACCAGCCCAAACACACGTTCACTCTCAACCGTCAAATTTCAAAACATTGATTCTCAATGCTTCCGCAGCATGCGCTAAGTACACGTGCTGCGTATTTGCACCGCGTCATTTTGTTAGTTCTACCAACGACAAAGCTACTTCTTTATGCAATAAAATGTCCCTAGTAGAACCGTAGCTTCATTCGGTTGTTGCGTCCTCAATCTGTAAATTTCCTTTGGGCAACAGTTTGCCGTCTGGTAACATTGGCTTCATTGGCCAATGAACACGATAAAAGGAATCAGTCGCTACCAAACGCAGTTCAGGAAAGTACAATGACAATATTATGTAATTATCATCGCAAACTGGAGAATAACAAGTATTACATCTATTTAATACATAGTTCTCGTTCCTCTTTAATCGAAGTATACACGTGTTGAGCAATCTTGAATATTGTACGACTAAACTCTTGTAAATTGTTATATGCGCGACAACTTTATAGAACATCGTGTAGTCCGGTATTTGCATTTCGCGGTTAAGACAATTGCGTGCTAATCATCCGATACAGGAGAACGCTGTCCACAAATGTATCAGTTTCTAAACTAGTGGCTACTTAAACCGTGAGTGGCCAGTATGGTAGTCGTCTACTTTTGATCTGCGTATTGGTTTCGTGGAATTTTCGTCGCCGCGAGTGTATCGTACAATTGAAGAATGACTCAATGAAACTAAGGAAAGCGGCGTTTCGTTAAATAATGAATTGCTGGCACGTTACGATTTTACTACCCGATCTTTGTTAACATTTTGCCCCTGGTAGACGGGCACAGAGTCAGCACAACATCGACGTTGACAGGTGGTAGTTGTCATTTTCTGCTCGTCCCCTTGGAAATTATTGCACGATGTTCGCGACGTTGAAGAATAAAATACGAGAAGAAACGGGTAGCGACGTGTCAACTGTCGTTAGAAATGCTGGCAACGTGCGTGATATTAACTCGAAACATACGTCTCAGGTAAACATGTAATTTCTGCCTGGCGAAGTGTTATCGATGTGAAACGATATTGCGACCATACATGCACGATGAATTCATTTATGGGCACCGTTGAATTTCTTGCAATCGTCTCGAAGTGTCGTTAATTGTCGAAAAGAATACAGACATTAATTTAAGTTATATCTCATTTATTATTTATACATATGTTTTCCAGGCAATTCATTAACATCGCATACGTTCGTCAGTTGATTATGTTAATGCCTTAAGACTCGTTTGAATGTGTACGAATAATGAATCTTATTATGATTTCGTTTTCTAAATTATACTATTTATTATTTGCTTTAAGATTATATATTTACTGAGTTTATCAACTTTAACAACAAATATCATAACTTGATAATAAATATTTCTCTATTTAAATGTTGCATAATTTAATTAATTAAGTTATATGTTACATTCAGATCAGAATTCTAGAATAGATTTTTTAATGATTTTAAAGTTTAATTATCCTCTTAAAGGACTTAAAGGACATTGTAAAAAATACGTTTGCGTAAAAATCATACTCTGTTTTTTTCAAACCAGTTTTCTTAATGTTTCATTAGATATTGATTTGGAAAACAAAATTTTGTAAATTTTTATTCATGATATATTCATTAATATAATTTAGTATCATTGTTGTAAGGTGATTCATACTATATTTTTATAGGGTGGATCCACTAGTAGCATTAGCGAATCTCAAATTTCACTAGATGGTTCACGCGATGAAAACGCAGCGTCACCTTCACCGCCAATTTCTTTAAAAAGGGATAGCACTTTTGATCTCAAATTAAGCGATGGTATGCAACTCTCTGCAAAAGACATAAAAAGGTTCGAGCATAGAGAAGAAGAATGGCAGAAGAGGCTAGTAAAAAAGGAAACAGAATTACTAAAACGAATAGAAAAAAAGGAAGAAGAGTGGAAAGTGAGGCTTTATGAAAGGGAAAAGGAGTGGAAAAAAGTTGTTGAGAAACAGGAGAAGGAAAAAAAAAAATTAGAAGACGAATTACAAAATACAGAACACACAAAACGTTCTATGGAACTGGCACTTAAAGATGCAGAAGGTACTAATGTTCACGTTAGGATCGAAATTTAATAAATTGTTTAAATTCAAAAATTTGTATTTAATTTTAATAGTCACAATCGGAAAAACAAATTTTTGGGTTTTTATAGACATTATTGTGTTTCAGAATTTAAAAAGATGATATACAACTATCAAGAAGACGTAGGACAACTAGAAGATTTACAAACTCAAGAGATGGCGAAAGTAAAACATTTGGTACGTTTCATTTAATAAATTTCTTTATACTCTATTGGCTCACTTTAGACTCGATGCAAACGAGCGATTTTTTGACGCGCGATCGTATATCTTTCCTCGTTTTGTTCAATTGAAATTACCGCCCCGCATAAGCATACTCAGCCGGTCCCAAATTCGGACGTTTAAGCGGGCACTACTGTGTATTAATATACAGGGTGTTCGGCCACAAAATTTTAATGGCAGATTCTAGAGGCCAACATAAGACGAAAATCAAGAATACCAATTTGTTAATTGAGGCTTCAATAAAAAGTTATTAACGTTTAAAGTTCCGCCTGTAGAACGGCAATTTGCGAACAGCTGCGCGCGCACGCGCGATAGTAGTTCTCACCACAGACGAGGTATACGAGTAACCCTTACATTCAATGTATTTTTTCGGCTCAAATGTCTGGAGCTCTAGAGCTCCATTAATACGCATTGTTTACATTTTGAAACATTAAAATCCTTCGATCCGTCCAAAAGTTATGATTTTTTAAACATAAGCGTCTCATAAAAATTTTCCCCAGGTGTGGCCGAACACCCCGTATATTTTAGAAATCTATCATTATTTAATATATATCTATATTTTTTCTGTTTAAATTAAGTTGCTGGTTAAAGAACAAGAGGTAGAAGAGAAAACGCAACATTTAAAAGCAACCACTACCGAAATTGAAAGTCTAAAATCTGAAGTTTCCCGTCTTAGGCGATACGAAGATGAACTGAACAATGTACAGGTGAGTACATTATACGATAGTTGCTTTGTTTGATTTTAAGTACCACCTAAATACGCCATGAACTGTAAGATTATGTTAACATAATTATTAAATGTAATTGTGTTAATGTAATATAAGTTGCTCGATTGACACCATTTGAGTAAGTAAACATGGAGCATATTTTAATGATTTTGTTTCAAAAAAATTTGTATACACGTTTTGTTCACGAATCTTTTTTAAATCCTCTGCAACATCCGTTACACCAGTGATATTTACGACAAGAATTTTAGACGAGAATTTAAGGCAAGAATTTGTCATGTTCAACATTAAATTATACGTATATGTATAATTACTGTTTTAACTGTATGTGTTACAGTGTCTTATACTTACATTTAATTTTCGTGTATGTATAAAATGTGTCACCAGTTTGAAGAGAAATTTTGCAGTACATTGTTCGAAGAAAAATAGATTGTTTCTCGAATGTTACACATTATTCTATTTTTGCAGTACATATGTATGAAAGGGAAGTATTATTTAAAGTAAATATTATCAATATACATTTTTACAACTAATAATTATTTATAAATAACAATTTTTTAATGATTTGTTAGAATGTGTATTATTAAAGAATTTAAATAATGCAAATTTATTAATACATTTATAGCATGTTAAAATGAAGTAGTTACTTCAGACAAATTTCTTATTGTTTCCTCTAACAATATTTTTAGTACAAAGAAATTACTTACTTTGAATGAACTAATTCTTTACGCATAACTTTAATATAAAGAAAGATGTTAAATTTTATTTTATCTCGAGTATAAATTAATTTTTAAAACACATGTTTTTATAATATCGTGTATCGTACTCTGTACTCGTTAATAATATGGGACATCTTTTTGTTGAAAGAGATAGGGGTGCATGGAAAAATCAATTTAATCATATTTATCTTATCCGTTCTCTTTAAAATATTGTTTTTGTTTCTGTAATATCAGTTATATGTTATATGGTCTTTTGTGAAACTAACGACCATATATTTTTTTTTTAGATATAAGCACGCTTTTTAAAGAGTTTGATTTTATTTTTGAAGCCTTTCGATATCTTTTTTTTTTATTTTATATATAGCTTTTTGTTTTGTCACGGTTAGCCATGTTATTTTCCCGCACATTTTTATATTGACACACAATACCAATCTATGATGTACTACTTGCTACCTACGGTCAAGACTCTTTAAGCATTTGATAATTTCGAATATTTCGGGGATTCGTTGAAATGAAACGAATGCGCATATGTTCCATAACTCTTAATTGTACTCTTGAAATGCATTTCGAATGTTCCGTCAGATGTTTCTGATTTTTATTTTGCTAAAGTTTAATTTAAAAGGAGTAGGCATCCTTTGAGTACATACAAGTTACGAACAGAACAAAATTCGTGTTACTGGTTATGGAACATGAGCAAAACCTAAGTGATACTGAAAGTTTTGTGAAAAACAACAAACGCATGAAGATTGGAAAACTTTGATAAACGAGAGCATTGGAGATCAGAGTAGGCGGTAATTTCCGCTAATTCGCTGCTGCTACTGCTGACGCTAGAGGTACGTCTTCAAAGCTTTGCTGCTATTCTGCAACATAAATAATTTCTATAGATCTGTACTTACATCAATGTTGTTCTTTATGTAATTCTCTCCTTGGTGCAAAATTTTATAACATAGGAGAAATGCATGTATTAACTAGTGGAAGTCATTTACTAGTAAACAGATTATTCTCATATTTATAATAAAATTGCATTTAAAATGTTTGAACTCTTCCTACTGCAGTACTCGTGCTCCAATGTTGTTGCTCTCATAACAGCGTGGAATAATTGATTTCAGACTACCAAGAGATTTTTTTATACACATTGATTTTCTATCAAATTCAATTTCTATTGCACTCATTTTTGGTAAATAATAAAAAATAATAATTTTCGACCGAAAGATTTATCTAACTCAGACTTTATTTCTACTTCATACCTTTCTTTTATTATTCTGTTCACTTTCAGTATTATTGTCATTGATCATCAAATTCATCATCATTTGCTTATTCTTGGCTTCATAAGGTTTGGATTATTTCTGATATTCCATTTATATTTATGTGTTAGCAATGCTTTGGTAAGGTTTGCAACAAAGCTTCAGAGAGCAAAATGTATTAACCATAGAAGTAACGTGCATCTTTAGTAACAATGTTACCATTTCCAGGATGAAATGGAGACACTGCGTCATTCTACTCAGCGCGAGAGAACTCAGCTTTCCTCCCAGCTGGCACAGACGGAGGAAGAGGCACGTCACCTGAAGGATAAAGTTTTTGTGTTAGAACAAAGAGTTGCTTTAGGAACTAACGACCAAGTGACTGTCGATGAGAGAATAGCAGATCTTATGAGAGAAAGGGCATTGTTGGAAAGAAAGTTAGAAGAGGCGCATCTCCATTTGTCCGATATAAAGACCAGTTGGTCAGGAAAGATATCCAGCTTGGAAACGCAGGTCGGTAGACTGAGCAGACAGGCTGGCGAAGAAGGTCTGGAGAGGAGACGCGTCGAAGAGGAAAACGAAAAACTAAGGCAAAGGATCAAGGAACTGGAAGCTGAAATAGAGGTGAACAATATTGTCATGGCGACGAAAGACGCCAAGCTTTTGCGCATGGCAGAAGACATCGACGAGATGGCCACGGAACTGAAAGAGCTCCGGGCCAGCGTCGATGATGAGGTGGAAGAGTTTAAGCGACAAATTGTGAGTTACCGCGATTTGTAGTCATGCATGGACTAGATTGTTTTGAAGAAGATGTCCTATTAGATCTTGAGATGCAAAGAAATGTATATTTCCTGTATATCGGATGACATATTTCCAAAACGATCACATTGCCGAGTAGTAGTCGTCGAATTCTTGTGTTATTGTTTTCCACAGAGCCTTTTATTATGCGAGCCATATTATACAATATCAATATAATTACCTGTATGTAATAACGAGGTTTTAACGTTGAAGATTGTAGTATCTCTTTTGTATACTTCAATTGTTCTTTCCATATCAGCATATTGAAACAGAGATAGTTAGCATTTAAGAAGTGACCGTTTTATATTTATAATGTTTCGCAATTTTGCGTGAATAGACATGTTTGTTTTTAGATGTCAAAGTTTTTTCCCAGTTATTAATCGTAACTATTTAATTGATCACGTTTTAACGGGTGTTTACAAACTACTTAATGCTTACAACATTACACGATAACTGTAAGAACACTGGAACGCGTACATACGAACGCGTAAAAAGCATCGTGTGTTGATTCGTAAATGGACACTACACGTCGCCTATTTACTTGCATGTTTTCTTCTAAGATGCTTGACGCTTAACGCACAGAAAAAATTTCTTTTATGCATATTTACCAGCACATTTCTTTTGTTCGTAATTCTTTATTTATCGTTACAAGCATGTAGAAATTTATGACGTATTACTATATTTTATCAGAGTTAGCATCCCGTATCGACAAATTCGGCTAAGGTCCGAGTTGGTCTACTCTTTAAAACCCTATGTTTCGCTCGCGTTGCCTTTGTACATGAAAATTAAATAGTACCAACATAACGACATTTTTATGTACGAACGCATTTCTGTATATTTTATTTGTGGAATAAAGAAAGAAACAAACAAATTGAATAGTTTTCGTATTTCGTTTTGTGCTTGTTTTTAACCCATTTTTACATCCCCACCCACCCCCCCCTTTTCAAGCGGCTTTTTATATATTATTATACACATGACTGTGTACACGATTGTTTTCTTACAGGGTAACAAACTATATTATATTTTGCTACACCAACAACATAATTCAGTTACGTTTACGTTGCTATAAATATTATGAATGTGTATCCAGGTGGAAACAGTTCAAGGAAAACGTATCATATGTTACATAGTGTAGAAGATAGAATGAGTAAATAGAAGAATTTGAAAACTTCGTTGGAAAGCCAAACATGATAGTAAAAGTTTTTCCATGTCAACCGAGTATGTTCGAACCAAAAGTTTACTTGCTGGTTCGGGCTTTGGAATTATGGCACAAACGACACCCGTTAAAATTCTTGTTTATATATGCTTTTCATTTCTATTTCGAATTTAAGCTTTATACATTGTCTTCCTATAAATGTAATCTCTAAACTAAAATATTACTTTGTACAACTATGAAAACTCATAAAATCAAACTCATAAAAATTGTTATATAAATAATAGTTACAGAACTATTGGATATTTTTAGTCGAATGATCTAATCTCTATGGTCAAATAATACCTTTTTGTTAAACGAGCAGTTATTCAACTCATAAAATTAAAATTGAATAATATTTTGAACGTACCTTATATACAGTAGTTTATTGTACAGATTAACATATATTAACTTGAACATCCGATTAATAATAAAATAATGTTTGATAAAGGACAGCTTCTATAATTAGATTTTTAATCATTGCTCCATGTTAATTTTACTCGTACTTTAACTAACTTCACCATACGTCTTTCATTATTATATATTTTATTTTATTCTCCAACTTTTCATTAATAGTCTTCGATTGTACCATAAATTCCAAAGATGTATATTAAAAATTGTATTTTCGTGAATTCTATCAATGCAAAATTACAGTTTCAATACTGGATACGTTTAACATTAGATAGCACTCACGTTATTTCATTCTTTGTTCTCTCGTCAGGAATCTTCTTCGAAGGAAATCACTCAATTGAAGCAAGACTTGGAGGAAACGACAACAAAACTTTCAACCATCACCTCGGAAGTAGCGCATCTTCATCTGTCTTTGGAAGGTGAACGATCAAATAATTCCTCCTTACACTTACAAGTAGCACGGTTAAGGGAAGATCTAGAATCTGAACGAACTACATCAGCAACGCTAAGAGTATGCCTAGAAAAAGAAAGAGGAGAGAAAGACTTTGCTCTGCTGAGGAACGCTCAAGTCTCCCAGGACATTGAAATTGTAAAACAAGAGAACCGACAGCAGGAAATTGAAAACACAGAACTACAGAATAGGATAGACAGCCTAGAGCATAGTTTGCAAAGTAAAACTAAGGAAACGGAACAAGCAATCGCTACACTAGAAGAAACCAAACAAAGAATGTCGGAATTAGAGGAAGCGGAACGGAATAATGAGAAAATGGAGAGGAGCGAGAAACTTCTTAAAAGTAGCTTGCTGGATCTAGAAGAACAATTGAATGAAAAAACGAAGGTAAAATTAAGAAAAATAAAAAATCAGCAATAGTATTCTACATAATACTAATTACCGAGTGTATTTTTAGACAATCAAAGTCTTGCAGCAACGGTTAACAGATATGAAAAAGACTCTCCAACGAGAACTGAGAGTTCCATCGTCATCATTGGACAGTGACGTAGAACCTTCTGCAGCAATTCTGAAACCAAGTTCATCGAAAACCGTCACTGCTAGACATAACAACACAAGGGACGACGATGTCAACTTCAAATACCTTAAACATGTTCTCATAAAGTTCCTAACCAGTAGGGAATACGAGGTAAATTGTATATTATGTAACATTAAAACATTCCGACGAAGAAAGTCAGAGAAGACGTCGTTTTTGATATATATTTTTTGTTTTGTGTTCAAGGCTCTCCACTTAACGAGAGCAGTCGCTACTCTTTTACATTTTTCGCCCGAAGAAGAGCGATTGCTTCAAGAAACTTTAGAATGGAAAATGTCATGGTTTGGCACCCGGCCTAATTTAGGTTTTGGACAAACTGCCAAAGCCATACCGCCTAGCTAATAGCCGAAACAAATTCCTTTCCCTATAGGTATCATAAAAGCGGTCACGGGCCCGTGGTTAAAATCGAAAAGTTGGGTCGCGTCGATGTTCAGTCAGGAATGATCCTGAGGCAGTCGAAAGATTAGAAAAAGGACAAATAAATTTATAAGCTAGAAATTTCATAAATTTTGTAAAATATTTAACATTTACGACACGTACGTAATTTATTCACAAAGGCTAGAAATACAGACCGTAGTGGGCTTCGAGGGCGTGCGGTGAAATTCGTAGGGTCGAACCGGTATTTAGGTAAATTTGTAACATGAACATAGAAGAGTTTGTAAGGATATTTACACCGATGTTAAATAAATTAGCAAAGGATATACATACGATCAGCGTAGCCAGAAAAATAATCTGAATCGCCTCCTTTGAGGTGTGTGGGGGGGAGGCAGCATGTCGCAGAAGCTTTTGTGGCGATCATCAGTGCCGAGCGATGTCAAATTCCCAGGCCCACACCTGTGGATCAGAGGAGAGGTTAGAAACAGCGAATAAACTTGAAATTAAAGTAACAAAGAATAGTTTATTATCAACCGTGAAAGTTTGGAATCTGAGAGTGTCTGGGTTAGGTCATGAACGGCGCAAGGAAAAGGAGAAACAAGTGTTCCTATTATCCTGTTGCTTTTCTCACTGCTCCGCATGGCGCTAGGTGGCGAAGGACCCCACGTCGTGCTACCTACCCCCTACTCCTAAAAAATGGGATTTAGTTTATTGTTCTGATCACGCTCCACACAATGTACAAGAAAACGCTCAGTATCGAGTCACAATATACAGGGTGTTCGGCCACCTCTGGGAAAAATTTTAATGGGAAATTCTAGGGACCAAAATAAGACGAAAATCAAGAATACCAATTTGTTGATTGAGGCCTCGTTAAGAAGCTATTAACGTTTAAAGTTCCGCCTGTAGAACGGCAATCTGCGAACAGCTGCGCGCGCATGATAGTGGTTCTTATTCAGCATGAGGAACTGTACTTACTTACGTACCGACAGTCTTACAGTTTTGTGAATGAGAACCACTATCATGCGCACGCAGCTGTTTGCAGATTGCCGTTCCACAGGCGGAACTTTAAACGTTAATAACTTTTTAACGAAGCCTCGATCAACAAATTGGTATTCTTGATTTTCGTCTTATTTTGGCCCCTAGAATTTCCCTGAAACACCCTGTATGTTGTTTTTGTATGCAAGTGCTAGAACACAGACACGATCACTTTGCAATAGTCACTATACATCAAGAATTCTAACCAACTTTATTTCCGTATACGAATACATTAAATTATAAACGCATTTTGTTTCAAGATTGGATCTTTAATTTTGAATTCTCCGACATACACGGATTTCAAGCATGCAAGACTTTTATACGTAAAAAATATTGCATTTTTTCAACTTACGCATCATATAACTAATCGATATAAGTTAAAATAAGTAAATGTAATTTGAAAAAAACATAGACGGTTACATCGTTGTATGATGTAAGCAATTTAGATTTCTCTGGAAAAATTTAAAACCTTAGATATGGCTGCAGGTCGGTTGTAAACATTAGGAAAAACCTGTCTTGACTTCATGGATTTATGAAGTTGGGAGTAATCGCCATAATTACTATTTGTGATCTGAACACTGCAGTACGTCATGTTCATGTTTGTAAATAATATAATGATGTTTTTATATACGTAATTAAAGTACACTACTGATTGGTTTATAAGGAAAACGATTTATTTAATTTCGTATTTACTGTCCATATTGAACTATGATTATTTTTATTGTAATATTTATTTTGACGAGTTTCGTAGCGTATTTAGATAAATAAATAAAGACTAAATGAAAAATACTGTACCTTGGTTGGATAACATAAACACGTATAAGAAAAGGTTTTTATTTATTTTTCATTTATTTATTATACAGCTTTATGTATTACAACAACATTTTAAGTACAGTATTTTGTATTTTAACTAGAAAAAATAAACGAAAACATTTATGTATCGGTATCAGAAAATAGAAATTATTCACAATCCGACATATTTCATAATAAATAGAAAAAAATTGTATTCAGCTGAGTATTTGAGATACGACATTTATAATATTTACATCGTACATCGAACCTTTTTGGTCACGTACAAGTTTTTTCTATTTATTATTAAATGTTTCAGATCGTAGATAATTTTTTTAATTACAAGACATATTTTAAATTTTAAAGATGATACAATAATACTACATGTCACAATGTAAAACTAAATTGTTGCATAATATAGAAAGTGTAGTAATTTATATATTGAAAATTACATATACAGTAATTTATATATTGTTACTTCAAAAAAGACGCAATTGTTTATATTGCCCATTGGGGGTGATATTGAGTAATAAATAATGAAGTTGGAAATTTTATAAAATTTGTTTTCACTATATATCTTAATTTATCGTTACAGGATAGATCGTATATAATAAATTCTAATTCTATTACTTCATCTTCCATTTGTTTTTCGTACATTAGTATTTGGACAAGATCTCTATAATATTACAAAAAAGTGGATCTAGATTGGAGATCACATTCGTTGGAGGATATTGTTTCCTGCAACTTATGATTAATTTTTATTTGGGATTTTTTTAATTACTAAGTGACTATTTACATCATTATTAGGACCGAGTGTAAGAAGCAATCTATAATAACAGCATAGTATATTAATGAAGTAAAAGACATACGGTATGTAAGTACATAAATCTGTTAACTATTATAATCTATCAATTGTTTTAGAGGTAAAAAGGAAATTTTATTTTCTTGAATACACTATTCATTTTTTTAATAGACATACAATTATTTATTATTTGACTTATAGATAATAACAGAAAATATTGTTACTTGAACGATACTAAAATAATTGATAGATTATTGGGTTAAATTTCATTGAAAATATATTTCGTTATAGTGTCTATTCAAATTGCTTAGATTCTATTTATATAATCTTATGTCTTACATAATTGATTCTATTGATAATTCGACTAAGAATAAATGGAGCAATTGCGAATCGAAATAAATGAATTAAATATAAATATTTACATTTAATGTAAATATAATATTTTTTAAATTGAATATTGCAAATGTAACATTATTAATTTATTTACCTTAATAACCACACAGAGAATAAAATTTTGTTAAATTTCATTTCTTATTTACCATGTATGGATATGAAAGGGTTTCACGTGCTCTGTAAATAAGGTTACATCGTAGAAAATCAATGTTACATGTTATTTATGGTTTTATTTAGACTACGTTTCTATCTACAATGCCATTCATTCATACGTTTAAAAATGTACAGAATATTTATAAAATATACAGGAACATGTCACCTTATTCGTTCGCTTTAATGTGACTATTGGCAAAACCGAATTGGCTTTTCGTGACAGAAATTCCTTACTACACAAGCTCCCCTTGAGCTTTCATAAAAATAACATTATCCAAAAACTTCTACCTAAACTCTATGGTTCATGTAATATTATAAAATCCTATGCGTTGTATCTACATGGCGCGTGCATAAAGTCATGTTCATGTAATAAAAAAAATTATACATCTAACTTTTAAAAAATATTTTCAACACTTAGAAGTTATTCATGAAGCATTAATACAACGACTAGAACTTCTTTGATCCGGATATGATCTCTTGGTAAAGTTCAGGTGTGATCTCGATGTACTCCTTGCTTCCAGATAGGAAGTACACTTTGTCTTTTATTTTATTTGGATCAAAGCCTTCCTTCTGAAGGTCTAGCTTCTTTAATTTAAATGTTCCTGTTATTTCGAGTTCCTTAACGATTCTTAAGAAAATTGGTCTCGCGTAAGCCGGAAGTGTTTTTTCCAAGCCTTCCGCAAGGGCTTTGAAATCTAGCAGACTATCTGGATCGACAATCGCTGCCATACCTGCTCTTCCTTCCATTCCAGGTACCTTAAATAACGTTAACAATCATTTCGTAAATAATTTTATAATTTTAATCTATTCATTTTTTCAATTAGTTTATTTTAGTTCTACTATGTAATGCGCGTATTTACAATTAATAATCTAATTAATCTATTCATCGAAATAATTGTTCTATTTTTGAGAATATACATATACGCAGTAAAAAAATAACTAGAACTAAAATTAACAAAAGCGTGTCTAATTAAAGCACGAAGGACGAATTTCTAAAAGCACAAACCTGAACCCCATAGACGATAACATCCCGAAGATCCGCAATGCTGCTTAGAATACCTTCCACTTCAGCAGTAGAAACATTTTCACCTTTCCATTTAAACGTATCTCCCACTCTGTCTTTGTAATAAATGTAACCGCACTCGTCTTCTATTAATATGTCACCTGAAAACGGGAACATAGAAATAATTTTACAATCGCGTACCGTAAAAGAAGAATCGTCCCGAAACAGAATGTTGTATTGCGCTTTGGTAAGTTATAATAGTCTTTAATTTTCATTTCAAATTCAGTTATTATATGCAAATACTACTTACCAGTTAAGAAGGCCTTATCGCCTTTAACAAATACATTTTCTATTATCTTCGTTTCCGACGCTTGTCTGTCTAAATATCCATTAAACTCTCTCGACGCATTTCCTTCTTTTATCAATCCTATTAGCATGCCTGGTTCGTCTAGATTATAAAAAAGATATATTTGTTTGAATTAGATAACATATCTTAATGATTTTCATAGATGATAAAAGTAACAAAGAACCGAAATTTCAATAATGATTTTATGCTTTCATTGGCTATGTGGTTCATAAAGTATCAACGTGATAATGTCCATTTTTTTCATATACAGATTGTTCGGCCACCCCTGGGAATAATTTTAATGGGAGATTCTAGAGGCCAAAATAATACGAAAATCAAGAATACTAATTTGTCGTTGGAGGCTTCGTTAAAAAGTTATGAACGTTTATAGTTGCGCCTGTAGATAGGCAACCTGTGTACAGCTGCGCGCGCACAATAGTGGTACAATTTTAAGAGAGAACCACTGTCGTGCGCACGCAGCTGTTCTCAGATTGCCATTCTTCAGGCGGAACTTTAAACGTTAATAACTTTTTAATGAAGCCTCCAACAACAAATTAGTATTCTTGATTTTCGTCTTATTTTGGCCTCTAGAATTTCCTATTAAAATTATTTCCAGGGGTGGCCGAACACCCTGTTTACTAACAAGTATAGCAACTTCTGAAGCTGAGTTGTATTTGATTTAGGGAATTAAAAAATTATGTTAGCAAAATTATATTAACATTAATATATTATATTCTTACTTATATTTGCTCTTATGCACAATCCATTTGGACCCCTAACTGGCTCGTACGTGTCGTTATTTACTCGAATGATTGCCACAGGATGAAATACCCTAGGTACAATTAGTGGTACAAAGCCAACAGCGCCGGTTCGACCATCCAAATTCACTGAATAATAATAATAAATGAATAAATAAATAAACTTTGCTCGTGCATGGTGAATGCAGCACCGAAACATTGAATCTCACCGATATTAGCGTTTCCTTCGCTCGACCCGTAGAATTCGGTAATTCGATTGATCTTGAAGCGTTCGGCGAAGTCGCTCCATATCTGTGGTCTCATGCCATTTCCAAACATGAGCCTCAAACTGTGTGCAGTGTCTTCCGGCCGAGGCGGGGAATTGAGCAAGTAACGGCACATCTCACCAATATATTGTGCTGCCTGGACAACAAAATTATAAATTGATAAAAGAAAATGTAGAAATTAAAACAGTCCTTTAAAAATATACGAATCTTATTAAAATGGTATTAAAAGAAACTCGTGAAACGGCGAGGGAAAATAACACAGACTAATGGAAATCACCTCATTGATTAAATAAATCACTTTTTGCAAAAACATTGTCGTTGAATTTATTTGGAATAAGAATGCACGAATTTTCCATTCAACCTAATAGACGTTCACAATAATGAAATGTTTTATTTATTTTCTTATTCCTTCATTATACAGGGTGCACGAGAATGTAAAATAGAGGTCTTTTCATACGAAGCTTAGACACAGTGTGCTAATTGTAAGTGAAATCACCAGGACTGGATCAATGCCTACCAATGCCCTAATCACAGTCTAACAAAACACCATTTAATTGCTTAACTGACAAGACATTGATACTTAAGAAACGCTGAATATGAAATGAGAGTACTTTTCATTGCAGCACATCAAAAGTACTGTACTCGATATCTACATTAAGAGGCAGACTGCTGCTTCCAAAACTAATTTAATTTCCAAAATTAAAAATATATTATTGTATAGCAATACTTCGTTATTTTTATGGGCCAGCAAGCATCACTGGAAAAACTCTATACTGCCCTGTGCACATGCTTATTTTTCTTGCTGGTTGATCCAGCCCTGGAAATCGCTGTAAAGTGTATGGATATTGTAAAGCCACCTACGGTACATTTATATTTGATGCAATCTGTCCAATAAGCTGTCACTGAAAACTTGCTCCTCAAGACGGTCGGTATACCTTTTAGTATCGCGAAACCTACTCCTAATATACCACCGGCTGTATGATACAGTGGATTTGGATTGTATAAGATATCGTCCGGTTTCAACCCTAGCAAGTTAAATGGCAATACAGCTAGCAAGTATCTGGAAACAAAGAATTCAATACCCGTTAGTTCCTCCTTACTTAGCAACGTAGATGTCATATTTTAATTATAAATACGACGATTACGTATTTTATTATATCCTTTATAATAGCAACGAAGCATAATTTGCCTCAACGAAATCAACTACATTCCTCTGCAATTCTAATACCCGTTATTGGAATTTACGTTAGTAAGTTATTATTTTCTTATTCACTTCAGACAACTCGGGTAATTCTTGAACGTCGACGGTAATAGTTACTAGATCCTTTTTAGTTTTATTCTGTAAACGCGTTCAGCAGTTTTACCACCTTTCACTCGTGCCTCGAAGCAGTTCGATCGTAGTGAAGAAATTAAATTTAAATCGCGATCGAAGTTGTCGTGGATAAAAAGTTACATTTATTTTATTAGCTAAATAGTTGTAATGCAGCTAGACAGGAAGCAGCCTTGCATAAACCCACTACATTTACATTGTAATCCCATTCTCGACGAGTCGTAAGGCTTTCCTGAGAGGATTATAGATCATTTATACGCTCGGTAGGGAGATAATTCATTCCGTCCACGAGACGATGTCTAAATGAAAGTTTAAATAACATTTCGCGGAAATATCAGTCGCCTAAAAGTTCATTGTCTCCTACGTACAGTAAGTCACGAAAGTTTACACCCCCTAAAACGGTCGTTTTAAAGAAAATAAGCAACAATTTCATATAATAATATCACGTTTACTTATTAATATGTACAATATTATTAATTAACCTATATAAAAATGTATTATTTTTTACGAATATTTTATGCAACAAAAAAAAAGCGAAATATGTATGTACATCTAGTAAATCTAGTAAATTCTTGTTACATTAATATTTTGTCGGTCCTATTTTCACCTCTAAAACTGTTTTTAATCTTCTTGGCATGGAATGGACTAATTTAGTTGTAAAATCGGACGGAATTTATTTCTATTCCTCTTTCAATGCAGTTTTAATTAGCATTCTACTACTATAGCATTCGAATCTGATGATTGAAGTATCCATTTTAGTTTAATACATAATAATAAATGAGTATGATATTATACGAAATTGTTGTTTATTTTCTTTAAAATTACTATTTTACGGGGTGTACGAAGACTTTCGTGACTGACTGTAGTTTCGCTATACCTACTTTATTACCTACTCGAGATTTTACTAACGCTATTATATCGTATAGGGTTCTTTTGTCAAATAAAAATTCTCCAAAAAAAATATAATCCTGATTTTGCCACGATTATGCATATCACAGAACATATTAAAAGTAATTTACTTTGGTATCTCTGGTATATAAAAGAAAGAAGTGTTGCTTACGAGAGTCGTATGGCTTCGAGTGGGGACGTAATACTGGCAACAATGTATAGTAAAGCGTAGAGGTGATTTGAAAGTCAGCTTTGCTTTTTTAACTTTGCATTTATATTAAAAATATTGATCAACATATTGATCTGCCACGTCATCTACACGTGGACTTCTCATTAAGGAGCTCTCATTAAGATACTAGTTTTTTTATTTCTTTTTTATCGATAGAAAATATCATTTTATACATATTTTGAATGTATGTTTCATATTACATCATAGGATATTTCTTGAAAGGTACGCGGTGAAATTTCTTGTGGCATGACTTATGGGATTGATCCGATATATTTAGAAAATATTTGAAGTGTTCGAATATTCGAATACAGGAAACTACGATAAATAGTCTCAAGACCCAGTTGAAATTATTTACGTACACTGCTTAAAATAACCGAAGGCTTGTTTAAACGACAGTCGTTCAAGATAATTTAAAAACTCCAACGTATTATAATAAGTATACCCTCGATAAAAACTGCTGTACTATGTATGTAAAATATTAGACTTTCATGACGTTGCGATGAAAGAAATAATATTGGAAATATGCTTCCCCGTGGCAAATGGCGGAAATGATATTCGTCTATCTAGGTGCGGTCAACTATTCGATTGCAAATGCGTAGGTACGCGAAAATTATCGAACTGGATATAATCTGGGTATAACATTCTACAGAAATATTGTTTTAACATATCGTCCGTAACTGACCTACATATGCTGGTCGATATTTTTACATAATGAATCAACTCTTGTGTTAACGATTATAGTAAATCCTTGGTTATAGTGTCCAATAATTCTCGAACCTTGACCACATCGTGTGGCTGAAATTCATTCTAAATTGACAGAAACAAATACGTCACAATACTTTTCGACACATCGTTTCTAAAACATTTATGGCGTAGTTAATGCGGCTTAAAATTTATTTTATTTTATTAAAATGCGATTTTCATGAAATGTTGATCAACCTTGATCGAACCTAAAATTTCTGCCGTATTTATTATTACTTTGTGAAAAATTCACCCATTGCATCAGAATTGCCCATTTTATTTATGATTCTATGATTATGGTTCTATGATTCTTAAATTACAAAAGATATGGAAAACAATTACAAATAAACGTTTCATTTATAATGTACAAATTTCCAGATGCAGTGCAACTTTAATTTGCAACAACTTTAATATCTTTTTGCAATTTAGAGGTTACATAAGTACTTATCTATAAAACGAGGGAGTCAAAGAGATGACTTAAATTACAAAAGATATGAAAAACAATTACAAATAAACGTTTCATTTATAATGTACAAATTTCCAGATGCAGTGCAACTTTGATTTCCAACAACTTTAATATCTTTTTGCAATTTAGAGGTTACATAAGTATCTATAAAACGAGGGAGTTAAAGAGATGACTTAAATTACAAATAAACGTTTCATTTATAATGTACAAATTTCCAGATGCAGTACGACTTTGATTTGCAACAATTTTTAATATCTTTTTGGAATTTAAAAGTTATACAGGGTGTTCAGCCACCCTTGGGAAAAATTTTAATGGGTGATTCTAGAAGCCAAAATAAGACGAAAATCAAGAATACCAATTTGTTGATGGAGGCTTTGTTAAAAAGTTATTAACCTTCAAAGTTCCATCGGTATTGAATTTTTTTCTCGAAAGTGTGTAGGATTTCGGGGGTATATGTAATGACCAAAAATGATTGTAATTGACCTCTGCAACCGAAAATAATTTTTCCAAAACGATTTGAAATTTTTTTTCTAGAAAGTGGGTAGGATTTCGGGGGTATGTCTATTCACCAAAAATGATTATAATTGACCCCCGCAACCAAAAATAATTTTTCCAGAACGATTTGAAATGTTTGAATTTAATTGTTAATAACTTTTTAACAAAGCCTCCATCAACAAATTGGTATTCTTGATTTTCGTCTTATTTTAGCCCCTAAAATCCCTCATCAAAATTTTTCCCAGGGCCGAACACCCTGTATAAGCATCTATAGAATAAGCGAGTCAAAGAGATTTCTCTTAAAGCCACAAGATGGCGGTAACGAAATACGGAATAGTTTTTAGGTTGGGTCAATGAGTAAATTAATACTTCCGCAAAGTTTTAGAAAAATCGGTATTCGACGGTTTGCAATGTTTCCTTAAAAGACGCACACATCCATCGTCATAGTTGGAAAATGAATCGTTTTACCTGGAGTTGGGAACTATCGCCACTTTTGGCAAACCGGTGGTGCCGCTTGTGTAAATGTACATCAGCCTGTCTCTGTAGCTGGGTTCTACGTCCACCACCGGCTCCTCGATGCTGGCTTCCGACAGGAGTTTATTCAGATCGTGCACACCGTCTTCGCACGTTTTCGATTTACTCAGCACCTTGTATCTCACGATACCGGGCACTGTGTCCTTAATGTCATCGATGGCTAAAAACAGACGTGACATTTTACACGATTTTCCACCGTTTTATTAGCAATTAACAGGGTGGTCTGAGCTTTTTATAATATAGGGTTCTACAATAAGAGCGACAGAACTTTCAATTCTCGTAGCCGCCATATTTGTTTCTCGCTTGTTCAAGTTACATTCGTACGAAGTTATTCTTTACAGTTACGGAGAGATGCACGGTTGTTAAACGAAATATTTTAAACGCTTCTTTTTATAAACGACAAGATTATTTTTTACTCAGTCACGTTGTGTGAATAATTAAAAATTGTCTCAGATTTTTGTCACGCTCCGTCAATGTAATTTTAGCATTTTCAGGTTAATCGTACGTTTGTGTTACAGAAAAGGTCCGCTTATAAATTAGAGATTCACTTATAGAATTAGAGATCCGGTTATCGTAAATGGAAGAACAAGTACTTGTTCGTTGTATAGACGATAGAACTACCTATTACGTACTAGGGACTTCGATCTTGTAAATCTTCTACAAATACACGTGTACAATGCGCAATGACACACGCGTACAGGGTGTCCGTCCATAAATGATTGAAGTTACAAAAAAGTTCAATAAGAGAAATTTTTCAGAACTTTAAGTTAGTTACAAGGTGTATGTAAATTGTTTTTCGCTTTAACCGTGACCTTCCCGAGTTACGAGGCACAATTTAGCTTTTTGCTGATCGTAATAATTATGCACAGAATATAGACCTCTACTTCAAAATACGTTTAGTTGACGTCACACGATTAATCACTAATTAAGAACTACCACTGTTATTATTTATTTTATTTATAAGTTAGCAATTTTAATACGATACAAAATACCGTGAACCGTCTTTAAAATATTAACATAATCTTAGCTATTTATAAAAAATCGTGCAACATCTTCTATACGTTTTATAATATTTAAACGAGTTTAATAAATATTACTCTTTTTCAAGAGATGTTTTACCGTGGCTGCGAGGCGGTTGATACAAAACGCAGCAAACACGGTATCTTCAAACAAGTACTTATTTGGATTCCATAAGAATGACGGTGACTATTCTTCCTTGCAGTAAACGCTCTCTATTTTTTCCCTCGGTGTCTATAATTATTTTACTCGTCTCTGTACTCACCAGACGTGTATTCCTCGACGTAAATAATACTTTTGACTTGAGCGATACGGAGACAATGGATCAAAGACTGGAGTCGTAAATTTGTGTTGATTAGAGCTGTAACGACACCGAGTTTACCCAGGCCAAGCCAAACAGCGGCGTACTCTGGCCTGTTTGGCATCATCAAAGCTACGGCGTCCCCTTTAACGTATCCAGCTTTTTGAAAGACGGACGCTATCTGGTTGCTATATCTGTTGATCTGCAAGTTACAATTTCTGCTTGTTAATTACAATAAAAATATCACAGGATGTTCGTTGCAATCAAAATATTAAAAAAAAATAAAGCACCCTCAAGAGAAACGTTCCGTATAAAAATTTTTCGATTTCAAGGGGGAAATACAAATATTCTTGATTTGTAAAATAAAAAATTAGATTTGTAAAATAAAAAATTAGATTTTTAGGAAGATGCTAGACGAATAGTTGTAGTCTTTTTTAACCCCTTAACGTTCATGCCCGAGTCTGACTGCTTTGAAAAACGATATTTATTTAATCTAATGGTTTAAGGGATGATAATATTTGTTTTCCTTCAAATTATACGTTGGATACAACATTGTAATTAACGGAAACCACATTTTTAGAATCAAATCCAATAAAGAAAACTGATTATTCTTGGTTAACCCGAAAAATATGAGCGTTAAGGGGTTAAAGCTGACGATTGTACCGCTAATATGATATGAACGTACGTCAGAATTCGTCCAAACGCGATCCTCGAAAATGAAGCAAGGCTTGTGCGGGTCACTCTCCACTCTTTTCTTAAAAACCTTCGCGACGGTCATGTTGTTTCGACGTTGCACCTTCATCTCGAGCTCAGCTCTGATAGCACGGTACAGGAATCTGGAATGTAAATTTTTAACTTATGTAATTAATTCGTTTAATATAAAATTCAAATTTGTGTGTTTGTGATTCCCCTGTAATTACTACTATGCTTGCTTAATAGAGATAAAATTGTTTTTAGTTGTTCTTTACGTCCTGACGGAAAGTATAGATTGCTTAAATAGGGCTTCGCTTCACCCGGTTAAGTGAATTCGAATCGAGCCCGGTCACTTTCACTTATCCGGGCAGGTCAGCGTTTTCGTTTCAAACACTGTCGTTTGCTTTTGTTTCGATCAGAAAACATACCTTTAATATCAAATTCAATAATTGTGTGTTTGTGATTTCCCTGTAACTACTACTATGCTTGCTTAATAGAAATAAAATTTTTTTAGTTGTTCTTTACATCCTGACGGAAAGTATAGATTGTTTAAATAGGGCTTCTGCTTCACCCGGTTAAGTGAATTCGAATCGAGCCCGGTCACTTTCACTTATCCGGGCAGGTCAGCGTTTTCGTTTCAAACACTGTTGTTTGCTTTTGTTTCGATCAGAAAACACTTTAATATAATTAATAATAATAACCTTTAATATAAAATTCAAAATTGTGTGATTGTGATTTCCCTGTAACTGCTACTATCCTTGCTCAATAGAAATAAAATTTTTTTTAGTTGTTCTTTACATCCTGACGGAAAGTATAGATTGCTTAAATAGGGATTCTGCTTCACCCGGTTAAGTGAATTCGAATCGAGCCCGGCCAGTTTCACATATCCGGGCAGGTCAGCGTTTTCGTTTCAAACACTGTCGTTTGTTTTTGTATCGAGTTGAAAACGCACCTTGCATGTAGCGGCTGACGAGGAGAATAAACGAAATACATACACTGAAAGTGAGCGATATAGAGCAGCAGCGAGTGAGTCTCGGATTATCTGCGTCCGGCAGCTCACAATCGAGAGCGATAGAGAATGCGTTAAGATGAGTCATTCGTCAATTAAAATGACAACATTTGAAAATGGAGAAGAAAAATTTATTTACGTAACATCTGTACGCTGCATAGGATTAGGAAACATTAATTATTCAATCGACACGCAATTACAAAGTCGTAATAAATACTGCTAATGGCTAGAACTTTAATAGCGAGTGTAACTCGCCTAACTGGAAGTAGGATTATTTGAACATTTGATTAATATTTTTACACTACATAACCCTCGAAAAGCAAATTTCTGATACGATATTTTATTAAATTCTTAACACAATAATATTGCGTATAAAATTATGCGTAAAAAATATCATTTGTATATTTTCGATTATGATTTCATGGATACAGTATGAATGGTCGTGCTTTTCTGAAGAAAATAAGTCCAAACATACATTGGATTACTTTTGAAAAATAACGAGGTAAAAAATGTGGTAAATATTTACAAACGTGTGTCGTTTAAATTTAAAAAAACATGAAAGAAATTTGTTAAAATATCTACATTGTTTTCAATCAAATTCATATGCATTAATATCAGTGATAATCTGTCAACAAAATTTGATAGCACATGAGGCTTAATTTTTATCTTTATTGTAAATGCAACGGACACAGAGAACAATTGGAAACAATTCAATGAAAAATTATCTTAAACAATCGGTATGCACAATTGAATTACAATAAATATCAGTAAATAACAACAGTTAAAAAAAGCAAAATGTATAATATTCTCCTATCTTTGTTATAAATAAATTTTTGCGAATATTGATATTGATAACAATAATTTATCGAATGCTAAAACGTTCAAAGACCTTTTAGAAAACGAATGTATAACATCTTCAAGGTCGCAGAAGGTCAAAAGCAGCGTAGCGATTTATATAATTTAACAATCAGAAATTGATGTTCTTATTAAACTTGTACACGTTTGTAAAGTTCTTTTTAGTCTGAATAATTTGTGTTCAAAACAATGTCAAAAATAATCCACTTAATAAGAGGTTATAGAAGTATACATATGTAGTTTCCCTGATAAATGTCGCAAGACGCGTCTGACAATAGACATCCGTTTTCCCTTACGCTCTTACACCTTACTTCGTTCTCGTACTTTAGGTATACAGGTCGATCGTACCTAGTTCTGTGTATCCTTTAATGTAAGCTATATGGTAACAATTAAAAAATCCCTAGTCTTACATAAACTTGTAATTTTTTATACGTTTCTCCTTATTCGGTACTCTAAACAGTAACAATCTTACATTTGTTTGTAAGGTTTATAAAAATCTTTAGTTTTACATAAATAAATTTATAATTTTTTTCGATTCTATGTCGGAGTTTTCTTTGGCACTATAAACAGTAACAATTGTAAATATGTTTGTAAGGTTTATAAAAATCTTTAGTTTTGCATAAATAAATTTATAATTTGTTTCGATTCTATGTTGGAGTTTTCTTTGGTACTATAAACAGTAACAATTGTAAATTTGTTTGCAAGGTTCGTGGCGAAATATTTTTACCGGGAACAACTTTTAAAATAATACACGCACGAAAGGTTGCAGAGGTATGTTCTCGTAATATGTATAGTCCTCGTGATATAGGTTACGGGCTGTGTCTGATAATAGACAATCCGTTTCCACATGTTCTCTTACACCTAGTTTCTTCCCCGCACTCTAAACGCGTAGGTCAATGGTGTGTCACTATATTATGTTCCCCCAAAAATTCATCGAAATAAAAAGAACTTCCAAAAAATATACTCCGATTAGTAAAAAAATAATTGCATTTTTCACCCAACAGTTGACGATACATGCCCTTCAATACAACTAAATTCATTTTCAACAGCTAAAAGAATTAATTCTTATTATGAGATGTTAAGAAAAATTAATATCAATAGGGTCCATAAATTCTGATCGAATCAAAAAAAAAAGTGCAACAAATTTTAAATCGAGCAGCATCTTGGAATAAAATTTTTGTTAAATTGCTTGAAAATAAAAAGTTCTCTTGTTTATGTTAAACTACAGATTTGTATAAACCTTAGAAACAAATTATAAATTTATGTCATTATATTATGCTGCTGGAAAAATTCATCGAAATAAAAAAACTTCCAAAAAATATACTCTATCCAATTAGCCAAAAAATAATTGCATTTTTTCCGCAACAGTTGACGATACATGTCTTTCAATATAACTAACTTCATTTTCAACAGCTAAAATAAAAAAAAAATGCAATAAATTTTAAATTAAGAATCTTAAAATAAAATTTTTGTTAAATTGCTTGAAAATAAAAAATTCTTATAGTATATTTTACGAATTTGGTCAACGTGTTGTGGGTTTGGTAAAATTATGAATAATATCAAGAATGAAAAACTGCTTGTACGCAAACGTCAACGACGATGCATGGTTCATTAAGTGTTCTTCTGCGTTGCAACTCTTATCGTTATAGTATCGAGGCATTTGATAACATTTTGACCCAAAGATCGTCATATGTACTTTACCCTTTGCCCAGTCACAAGGGGACAGGACACAAAACGATCAGCTTTCTCATTTTAAGAGACGTTTCGTGCAATGAGGTGGAAAGAGAGGTCCGTAAAAACGTATTCGTTAGAAAATACGCGTAAGAACTTGTTGCAACGCAATTAATGTCGCTCAGTGTGCATTAGACACAAGGCTCAGAAAATAAGAAAATGGTGAAGTTTCTTCAGACTTGTTTGTCAAAGATAAGTAGACTAAATAACGATTTATTAATAACAGTGTTCATGCGTTACGGTGATATCACCAGTGAACTTTGGAAGGAAAGCTCAATTCTTGAGAATTGCGTTGCACGTCCGCAAAAACTGGACTGAACATATGAAATTATCAATTCAAATAATATTACAAGAAGTGACTCATTTCAATCTGTTACTGTTGCATCGAAAAAAGATTGTCGTATAAAAATCGAGCGGTTTCCGGGGCAATCGATGCGAACAGGTTGGCGAAGAATATAATTCTACACTAGAAAACGATAAAATTTGCACACATTAAGAACATAAGTGTTCTTAAAAAAAATGTAAGAAAAAAGAGGATTAATTTTTTTAAAGGTTTACAATATAATCACTCCTTATAATCTGTTAGATCTTTTATAAAATAAATACATCTTATTAATACTTTGTCGTTTAGTGATTTTGTTTAATAGCAATTTAAATAATATTTATTATTATGTGTTCTATTTTTAGGCGACGATAATTAAAGAGTCTAGACATCAAGTACATACGTATTTATACATACATGTATACATACATGATACATAACTCATGAATGGGTACCAAAGTCGTAAGTACTGTGTCTTCCATGACCTAGAGATAAACTATTGTCGCTACACGCACAAAGAGGCTGGTATCTTCCATTAGTAACTGTATCTGTCCAGCGGATGATATCTTTGTACGCTTATCAGAAATTCGATATTACATTTAAACCAATTACATCGTGAACATGAATGTTTGACGATAAAATAATTTATGTGTTTATAACATGCAGGAAATATTTGCTAAATACATACAAATATAAAACGCGTATAAAATATATAAAATACAGTGTAGATTATACAGCAAAACTATTTTCTGCTTTGTGCAAAATTAATCTTCGTTAATAATACATCAACTGTCAAGTTATTTTTTTTGTTATTGTTAAGGGGAACAAATTTTTCAATTTTTCAATGTTTTCGTATTTCAATCGTGTATAGTACGTTGACTTGCGGATGGCTCGAGGGGCTGCTCTTATAAAATCATTATTCAATGTATTGTTAATAAATGCTATTACGTCATCGTCACCCTATTTGCATTATATTATGATTTTATAAGAATAGTGTTGGCGAAAGGTCAATATATATTTAAAATTTTAGACGAATATTCATCAAAAGGTCAATACAACACGCACAATAGAATTTCTCTTTTTATCATATAAAAATTACAATATGTACAATAAAGTGTACTCTGTTCGGAGGAAAATCTACGACGCTCGATACTCGATAAAGACGTCTTCCATAAGGATTAAACATACTTAAACGTATTATCATTGATAACAAAACAAATATATTT